CCTCTCTGAATGCAGGGGAGTATGAGGCTCCTTCCCTCAAAAGCTCCAATATCCCACTTGGTATTCATCTCTCTCTCAACTCAGCACAACATCTGAGGCCTTCCTCAGGAGGAAGCAAGCAGTTCTTGGGCAAACCCTCCCCAAGGAGCTCTGGAGGAACAGAACCACACACAGCTGTGGGTGTCTGCAGAATTTATTGCTGCCCCCCCCCCTTTAGTAGAGGCGCTGGGGTTTCCCCATGGTGCTCTTAATGTACAGAGCTCGCACGTTCTGCCAGTTCTTCTTCAGCAGCGACACCAGGAAGTTGATGGCCAGGTGAATGTTGTAGACAAGCTCATCCTCTGTCATCTTCACGTGACCCACAGCCACAGCCAGACAGAGCACCTGGAGACAGACACAGGTACAGCTTTCACAGGCAAAGCAAAGGTGACAAGAGCTGACCCACTCATCAGTGTGTTCTGCTGTCCCATAGTTTGGACACGGGACATGGCTTCCCCAGCCCACCCACAGGCTTTTCCACCTGGCCTATGGCTCCCTGTAGCACCTGGACACCACCTCTAACACGTGCAGAGGTGACTGGGTGAGGTGGGAGCACAGCTGCCTCCCACACATGGGACCACAGGAAGGACCTGTGGCACACTGTGAAGAACTGGCACAGGAGCACAGCTCAGTGTTACCCTGCGCTGCCAAGCCCACACCAGCTTCCCTTTCTGCCCCTGGGGCCAGCCCCCAGCCCTCTCTCTCTCTGCACTGTGACAAAGGCCCAGGAGGGCCACTCCTCCTGCCAGGCCTCCCTGAGCAGCCTGGAGGCCAACGCTCCCCACAGGCTGGAGTGAGCCGACAGGCCAAGTGTCAGGACACATTAGCTCAGCTATTTTAAATGCTCAAGCATCTGCAAACCCTCACATCTGCTGTGTTCTCCCAGCTGTGCCCCCAGGAGCCACACTTGGCCCACTGACACAGGGTTAGGATGCCTGAACAGGGTTATTTTGGTTTGAGGGAGTCAGTTCACCTCAACAGCAAGAGCAGATCCCCACAGAGCTGCTCCCAAGTTCCCTCAGACAGACTCAAGTCCCAGACTCACTCCCAAAGAAGCCCTACTCACACTCAGCCACCCACAGGGACATGCCTGGCCAGGTCCCCCTCCTTGAGCAGCACCCACATGCTGGGAGCAGCATTAATTTCACTGCATTGTACTCAGCATTGAAACATCTAATCATTTTCTCATCATTTGTTCCAAGATCTGTCAACCACAGCTAAATTATTCCTCCTTTCTGGCTGGCCATGGAACACTCCTGATACCATTTCCCTTTGCTGGAGGAAACTTCCACAGTTTGAGGAACACTCGAGGGACACCTACAGTCCAACTCAGACATGGCAGAGACACAGAACAACCCCCAGGTACACAACTAAAGCCATGCTTTACCTTCTTCATCTGAAACTTGATGGTCGATTTGACCTCATCCACCTTAGCCACCAGATTCTCATTGTGGGTGAGGAGAGAAGGGAATTTCCCAGCTTTGTTCAGGCCTGGGCCCAGGATCCGAGGAATCTGCTTGATCAAGGACTCAGAAGCCAGGAAGGCATCGTACTTCTTAGCTGCAAGGAGACAACCTGGGAGGTAAGGATGGACTCTGCTCCCACACCAACCTCCCAGCGAGGGACTCCCTGCTGCAATTTCAGTTCCCTGGGTCCCACCTAACTGGAGCTGGTTTTGCCTACAACCTCTGAGGAATGACTGCCACAGCAACCAGGCCGCAGCCTCACTCAACAGAGACTCCAAATGACAGCTTATTCCCTGACAAACTGTTCTTTGCTAAGCCCCAGGTGACACTGAACTAACTCCAAGCTCTGCTACAGACTGTGGACACCAAGATGAATGCGATAGAGGACCCATCTAGAAGAGGCTTAGCCAACAATCACAGTCATTTCCTAACAGCACAGTTAGTTCATAGAACAGCATAGTTCTATGGCACATTATGGATTGAGGGGAAAGTTCCTGTCTGCCTGAGGAATGTATCTCAGGGACTCTGGAATTCTCAGGGAAAGATTTTTCTCTCTGAGCAAGAAAAAAGGAATGCATTTCATTCTGTTCACGTAAGAACTGCAGGACTAAAACACACTCTTGGCTTCCAGCATTTCTTGGCTTTTGTTGCACTCCAGCTCCCTGACCAGGAAATTGAGGGACACAAGGAAGGGTGAAACTGTCAACAGGGACATTTTCAGTCTCTCTCCCTTCCTTGGACAATCAGCTCCAGTTCTGCAGTACTGACCTGTGAAACCTGCACTGGAAACAACCTGGTGGCTTTTCTGAATAGTTTTTGGGCAGATTTTGGTACTGGAGTTCGTCTGCTCAGCTTTTCAGCTCTGCAACTAACCATGATATGGAAATCTGAGCATAGGGAAAAGCCTTACTGACACTCACCCAGCTTCTTCACCAGCTTCTTATTTTTGTTGAGCTTCTTTAGAGCTTCTATGTCCATGTGAGGGATGTCAACTGCTTTGGCCTCATCGCAGTGCTGCTGGTCCCCCAGCAGACAGACAGAGAATTTGGGCCGTGGCGTCGACTTCAACCTGCGGAAGCAAGGAAGGTCCAAGTCAGTGACCAGCCAGCACCACCCGCGTGTCCATGGAGCCAGCACAGAAACGCCTTACCACAGCAAGGGGCATCCTGCACAGCCGCTCACCTGCCGTCCCCAGCAGGCCGGTGGGGACAGCCCTGGGGCTGCTGCACCTCCCCTCATGTTTTAAGACCCAGGGTGAGGGTCCGTCCAGCCGCTCCCACTGGGCCGAGGCGCGCTGGACTCCCCAAGCGGTTCGGAGCTGCGGCGGCCCCGAGCAGGGCCGGGCAGGGCCGAAGGCTGGGTAGGAGCGAGAGGATGGCGAACCTGACGGTACCGGAGAACCGCTTGTCCTTCTGCGGGTCATAGTTCTTGAGGCTGATCTGCAGCTCCACCGTCTCCACGAACCTGCGGGAGGCACCGGGTGAGGCCTGGCCGGGCACGGAGGGGGGAAGGCCGAGGCTGGGGGTGACACGTCCGCTCCCGCCGTGTCCGTGGCTCTTACTTGCGCTTCTTGGCACGGCTGCCGTGCAGCACCTCCTTCACCGCCTCGTACAGGGTGTCCCGGGACACTTTGCTGCTGCGGGGGGTAACAACGCGGGCTCAAGGCCGGCTCCGCCCGGGACGCGGCCCCGAGCCCAAGCCGGTCCCCGCGCGTTCCCCCCGCGATTGACCCCGTTGACCGGGCCCCGCCGGCGGCCCGGACGGCCCCGGGACCCCACCGGGTGCGGATGACGGCTGACAGGGCGGATGGCGGCGGATAGACGCCAAACCCACCTCATGGCTGCCGCTGCTCGGACCGGAAGGGCAGAAGAGCCGCCGGCGCGATATAAATACTGTCGAGATCTCGCGAGAAGTGAGCGCGCGATGTGGCGCCATATTGGGAACGGCCGGGAGCGGCACCCCGGAGCCGCCACGCTGGGAGCGGCGGGGAGAGGCATGGGGAGCCTCCCCCGGCGGGCGGTTCGGCCGCATCTCCTTCCTTGTTAAATAAATAACCGGGATCTCTTTGCCTCCTGTCTCAGACTACCAGGCAGGAGTTCCTGCATCGCTTCACAGAGTATCTCAGGAGCCCTGGGCTGGCCTTAGCCAGCGCCGGGAAGGAGAAGGAGCGCGTGAGGAGCTGCCGGGGCAGGCCGGGCGCGGGCGGCAGCGCCGCCATCCCTGGCACAGGGCAGGTACCGCTGGTAGCGCCGGCAGGCTAGGGCAGCGGGGCCTTGTGGCTTCAGCGTTGACAACGCGCATGCGCCGCTGGCTGCGCCCCCGCGGATTGGCCGCCCGGCGGCGCGCGCTGCCCGGCCCGGCCCGGCCCGGCACCTGTATGGCGGGCGCGGCCCGCTGCGCGCGGCTGGGGCCTGCGCCGCTATGCGGGGTGCGCGGCGCCGGGTTCGGTGCACGTCGGGCCGGCGGCGGACCCGGGCCCGGCGGGTAGCTCAGGTCGGTGTGGGGGTTGGGGGGCGGCGATGGCGGCCGGGCCCGGGAGCCACCTCAGCTCCCGGGTACCGCGCGGGGGGAGCTCCCCGTGTCCCCGCCACCCCCGGGCCCTGCCCTCCCCGCTGCCCCCGCAGCCCGTGCCACGGTTTCCCCGGTCTCTTGAGGGGACAGCGGTGCGAGGCTGCCGCAGCGGCCACGGGGTAGCGCACAGGAGCCGCAGCCGGGTGTGGGGAGCGCGGGGCGAGTCGGCACCGAGCGGGCACCGAGCCGGGCTGCGCCCCGAGTGGCGGCGGGGACGGACGGGGCGGTTTGCCTCGTTCCTGGAAATCAAACGATCAAATATTTGGTTATCTCAGAGGTCGCTCATGAAAAACGCGCTGTAGCTCCTTTGAAAGATAACCTATCAGCAGAGAGCCTCTTTAGCAAAATGTTCTTGTGGGGGTGTGGAGGCTTTAGCATTGTTTGCTTAGAGCCTTGAAACTCTGTCCCTCAGAAGGCTAGGAATTAGTCAGGAAAGGGAGGAGAGAAGGACGATGCTTCCAGGGATAAAACTCATCACCCTACCCCTGCTGCACAGGACATGCTCAGCCTGTAGGTTCAGGATTTTAAAGTACTTAGAAACCCTGCAGATCATTTGGAGGACAGAAAGGGCTTGAATGTGTGTAACATTTGTCCTGTCTCTAAGAAGAGTCTGTCAGTTCACTGGCATGATGAGCTTTATTTCATATTTGGCTGTGGAATAGATTGTTATCTCTGCCTGCCTTTAGTGTGTGAAGAATGCAGCATTGTCCAGCTTAATCCTTTTTAGCCTTAAAAGTCTTTTGAGGCCATTCAAGCCTTTCCTAGTGTGCAAAAGTGGAGAAACTAAAGGAGAAGGAAAAACTAAGGGGAGAAATTGAAATGGAATTGTTGTTTTTACTTAAGGCTTCCAGCAAAGACGACAACCCCGTGTTCCACAGGCCCCTGGCTCTGGGCCCCAGTGCTCCCAGGCAGGATCCATGTGTGGGGAGTTGGGGCAGGATGGAGAGCCTGGGGCTGCCAGCAGTGACCCTTGGGGATGGCACCACGGCCTACCTGCAGCAGGCTGGCAGAGGTAACACAGCCTTGGACTGCCAGGGCTCAGAGTCTCTTCCTGGCTCTGAAATTAAAGTCAGACTCACCAAAAGCACCCCTTACGGCATGGGAGCTGCCACACATGCATGGCCACTTCACACGGGCAGCTGGTGACTGTTGGATTTGCACTGAAGTCTGATGTAAAACAAAATACAAATCAAACATGTCTCTGGTTTGGAAATGAAGCTGTGGAGATGGGAGAGCTGTTGCTGTAGAAAATAAAGGTGCTATTCAGACTAGAAGAGCCCCATTCTTTCCAGGGTTGCTGTGGACAGGGAGCTGATGCTGTGACCTGCAGTGCTCTGCTCCACCAAAACTTCCCTTGGACTGAGCAGGTGGTTTTACATCACTGGTGTGCACAGAGTTTGGTTCACAGCAGTGCTTTTTTCACTCAAAGAGGTGCCAAATTCCACATCTGCCCTTACTCTGGTGTTTGTGAGGTGCCCCTTTCCAGCACCCACTGCTCCCAGGCAGAGGAGTACGCTGTTTCCCAGCCTGCAGAACAGGATGGAGGAGTTGTGCAGCTCCCTGGGGTTGCTCTCCTGCTTTATTTTCTGTGCAAACTCACTGCAAGTTTATTACACATGTGGAACTGGGCTGTCTTGGAACCATCAGGTTGTGTGACACCCCCACCCCCCCAACCTTATACTCCAGGTGAAACCAACCTGGATTCTCCATGTTCAGTGAGATGGAGCAAAGTCCTCTCTGCATCAAATCATTTGGTAACTAAGTCATTATTAGGGTTTGCACAGAGTCAGGCTTTGGCAGAGTTCAGTCTCTACAGCCTGAACAGTCTCTACAACACTGGCAGCACTTTAGGCCCCTTAAGGTGCTGTAATTGTTTCCTAACAGTTGAGCCTCTGCCAAAGTAGTAGATAACTCTCCAGGCACTTGCTGATGCTACTTAGCGCACTCAGTTGATTTTTTTTCTTCCAACACAAGTGTAATTGCTTTCTCTGTATGCTCTGTCCTTCTTCTCCTTGGCATGAGGACCTGTGAGGGGCAGCTCCTCAACAAGGAATGCCTGAAGGTCTTTGTCCTGTGTCCTGTCTAGAAAAGTGCTATGCCGGCATTTTTGGGAAGTGGAGCCCCTCTGTGGCGGAAAACTGATCCATATCAGCCCAGAAGTGACAATTCCTCCCTTTTGGGGGAGTGTGGGAAGTAAGTGGGACAGGAGGACTGGGCTCAGCAGCTGATGGATGGCATGTTTTAGCTGTTCCAGGTGAAAAGCTGATTGAAGGGCAAGTCATTGAACTTGAAGATGGGACCACAGCTTATATCCATCAGGTGACAGTTCAGAAAGGTGAGGAACACACATTCCCCTCTTTCTGTTTGGAAGGACACTGTAGATGCGGCTGCAGCTCCCAGTGCTCCAGCATTTGGGCTCCTCTGTCAGTTCCAGTTTTCAAAAGTCCATGTGAGTGTAGGGCTTTCGTTGGGGTTTTCTTTCTTGTGGTTTTGAAGCTGAATAAACAAGGACATTGCCTGCAAAGCTTTTAGCAATCTGATGAGAAGGTGAATTTGGTGGAGGTGGAGACAAATGTTTAAGTGTCATTTCACCTGTGGGCTCTCCCTATTGTAATACCACAAGTCCAGTGCTCTGTGTCCTGTGTTGGTGCCAGCCACTTAGTACACGCAGAGCTTGTTTCATGTGGGAGCAGTTGGACAGGAATTTCCTCTGAAGTGTGGGATAATATATTACTTCTGAGATAGGTGTTGGTTGGGGGGTCATGTGGGGATTGTTTGGAACAATGCCACCTTGGTCCTTGACCCATCAGCCAATGTCATCTCTGAAATCAGGTAACGTTAGTCTGAGAGGTGTTGGGAATCTAGTTCATGGTGGCAGGCACCAAAGTGGCACAGAGGAATCATCCTTGGCCATGCTAAGATGCAAAAGGGCAGGTGGAAAGAGCTCTGTTACTTTGGGCAGTCCTTCCTTGATGCTCCCAAGTTCCTTGTATGCCACCTCCCTCTTCTGTTCTCTAAAGGCTGCTTGAAATTGATGTTTTGTAGCTGGCTGTGCCCCTTTCAACTCTTCATCCACTTCCCTGCCTTCACATACACAGTGAGAGGGGTTCTCCTTCTCACCCCTTCTTCCCCTGCCATAGGATGTTTGTGTTCTCCTTCACACACGCCGTGCCAGAGCCATTCTTCTTGTCTGGGATGTATGTCTAATAATTCATATAATTCATATGTCATATACTTCAGAATGTCTGCATTGAGGCACTGCATTACTCCTTTGAGCAAAGGAAGAGGCAAATTGTGCATGAAGCCTTGAAAACCTCATCATTCACATCAGAAGGGCTCAAATGGTGCCTTAAAACCTACAGCTGTGGTTGCCTTTCAGGGCAAGCAGGCAGCCCGGTGTCCTCTCCTGTCTGAACTGCCACAGTATTCCCCATCCTGACTCCTCCAGGAGGGTGTGTAGATGTATTTCTTTTCTTTTAGAGGCTGTGGCTTTTGAAGATGGGCAGCCAGTGGTACTGGAGGATGGCAGCACAGCCTTCATACACAGCACAGCTAAAGGTAAATCACTCCCTGATCTTTCCCTGGCAGCTGGAGAGAAGCTGCTGAAATGTCTCAGGTTTCCATGGCTGGGGAGCTGAAGCACTTTTTTTCTGCCTCACACTGAGCCTTTTTTCAGCTGAATTTTTTTCAGCTCTTTATCTGAAAGTTTCCTCCTGCAGAGAGTTATGAGCCTGGCACATTCCAGGCTGTCCAGCTAGAGGATGGTTCCACTGCCTACATCCACCATCCTGTCATCGTGGCACCTGGCAGCACCATCCTGGAAGTGCAGACAGAAACTGGGCTCAGAGAGTTGGCTGGGGATGAGGAAGATGATGGCTTTGATGTGGACACCATTAATGCATTGCAGCAGTATGGCAGGAAGGTGAGGGCACAGCATCTCTTGGCCTGAGTTTGTGCCCTCCCTTCAGCAGTGCTTGTGTGCATCTGTCTGGCAGCAGCAGCTTTGAGAGAAGCAACTGGAAGGGCTCCAGTGTGAGTGCCACTGCTGAGGGGTGCCTGGCAGCGGGGGACACAGAGCCAGGGCTGTTTGGTCCCATGGAGTGCTGGGCCTGCCACCCTTAACCTGCTGCAGGCTCAGGTCTAGGAAGGGAGGAGAGCTGCTGTGATACAGCCTTTGGTGTGTCAGCAGTGGCTAAGCCATGGCCACTGTCCCCATGGTGACGAAGGCCTCAAAACCAAAACAGCTTCACATCCTGATGTGCAGTCACTCCAGTGTCCCACCTCAATATCCCAGGTACTGCCTTTTTCTCCCATCTCCATAGTGCTGTGGAGCAGGGGCTGCCAGGAGGGTGCTGGCAGGGTGAGCTGGGCACAGACCTTCCTGCCGTGGCAGGCCCAGCCCCTACTCTCTGGGGAAGGGTGGGGTGGCACTGTGGCTGTCACTGCCTTCCTACTCCACACTCTACAGGGAGGCACAAGCAGTGCTTGTGCTTCACACACAGGGGTCTGATGAGGAAGAAGAGGGAGTGACAGACACCTGCCATATGAAGAGTAAGGACTCCAGCAACATCCCTTCCCAGGTCTGAATTTTTCAGTGACTGGAACTAGGCTGAACTCCTCTTTGCCACTAATTATAAAAGCATTGTGGCTTCTCTGCCGAGTTAGCAAACACTAACTGCACATATTTCAAATGAGCTGAGAAAGGGAGTTTCGTGTCTAACAACCCCCAGTGAGCTGGGAAGTAGGAGGGGAAAATGCAGGTTCCTAGAGCCCTGTAACCTGGGCTTCACCATGTGGGTACAAGCTGTTTTGTAGGAACATGTTTTTGGAGGATAGGATTTGTTTTTAGGAACATGCAGGAGTGCATATATATGTCAAGGAGGGAAATATTTGTGTGGGCTTGGTGAAGCTGTGGTGGCTTGCTGGATTGATTCCACTACTTGTCTCAGCAGGATTTGCAGGAGGAGGAGGTGCAAAACAACAGGAAGGGGCAGCAGGTTGGCAGCAGAGCTTTCCGCTGTGGGTACAAAGGTTGTGGCCGCCTCTACACCACTGCCCACCACCTCAAGGTAAAGCAGGTGGCATGGCAGTGTGCAGGCCAGGCCAGTCCCAGGTTACACTGCCAGAGCAGAATGCTCCATTGTGTGCAGCTGAGTGACATGCTGAGCTCCCCAAGAGACCCAGATGTGTCAATTGGCCAAGGTGAAATCCAACAGGGAATTTCAAATTCTCTCCACCAGCATTTTTCCAGTTTTCCTTCTTCCTTGCCTTGGACCTCATTCTAGGGACCTGTTCTTTCTTTCCAAGGTACATGAACGTGCTCACACAGGTGACAGGCCATACACATGTGACTTTCCAAGTTGTGGGAAAGCATTTGCTACAGGTAAGAGTTTCTGTTTAGAGCAGATTTTGTTTTCTGTCCAACCCAATCCCTGCTGAGCTTCAGTCCTAGCTCTGGTGCAGTAGAGCACAATAATCTAGAGCATCTAAAGCTCTAGGAATCACAGGGAATCACAGCACAGGACTTCATTGATTGTGGGCAGATAATGGTGGAAGCAAGGTGGGGAGTGGTGTTAATGTTGGTTATTTCTTCCCTTTCAAGCTTTGCAGACACAACAGACACTCAAGTGCATGGACTGAGGGGTGGTTCTCAGCTTGTAATTGTGTTTCCCTCTCATTAGAAAATTAGTTGTGGTCTCTGTCCTGGATGGGGTATGGGCTGAAGAGCCATGTGAGAACACACAAAGGTGAGAAACCCTACAAGTGTCCAGAAGACATGTGTAGCAAAGCCTTCAAAACCTCCGGGGATCTGCAGAAACACTTCCGCACGCACACAGGTGAGCAGCACGGGGGAGGAACTGCACAGCGGGCAGCCCAGTGAAAGGGTGTCCAGGGCACTCCAGGTGGCTGGGTGGTGGCAGGTCTCACCCACATCACTCTGTCTGTGCAGGTGAGCATCCCTTCAAGTGCCCCTTCGTGGGCTGTGGCCGCTCCTTTACCACGTCAAACATCCGCAAGGTTCACATCCAGACGCACACGGGTGAGCGGCCCTACGTGTGTGCAGAGCCTGGCTGTGGCAGGGGCTTCACCAGTGCCACCAACTACAAGAACCACATGAGAATCCACACAGGTAGGAGGGAGCAGCAGCAGGGAGATTGGTGGGGCTGGAATGGGCATTCCATCACAAGAGTGGATCTGAGGGAGCTGGAGGAAATAGTGGGAATTGCTTTATTGGATTGATTATTGTTCCAGCAGTATGTCTCCAGCTATTTGTTCTGGTGAGGAATCCCTCCCCAGAGCATGGGGAGAGTGAAGCTCAGCTCTGTGGCCTCTGCCCTAGGAGAGAAGCCGTACCTGTGCACCGTGCCAGGCTGTGGGAAGCGCTTCACAGAGTACTCCAGCCTGTACAAGCACCACGTGGTGCACACACACTGCAAGCCCTACACATGCAGCAGCTGTGGCAAGACCTACCGCCAGACCTCCACACTGGCCCTGCATAAGCGCAGCAGCCACGGCGAGCTGGAGGCCACCGGGGAGAGCGAGCAGGCCCTCTACGTGCAGCAGCAGCTGGAGGGTGAGCAGCCACTCCCCCCATCAAGGTGTGGCAAAGAGGAGGGAGGTGTCAGCAAGAGCAGGCACGCCCCTCTCAGACCCAAGTGTGTGCCGTGTTCTCCTGCCTCCCCATCAAATCCAGATCTATTGGAAGGTCCTTGCTGTAAGGTACAGGTTGGGAACAGGCCCCTGCCCATTCTGTGGTACAGGGAGAGGTAAAGGCCCTTCCTGCCAGGCCATCGCTGTGCTGGTGTCATCATGGTCTTGTGCTCTTTTGTGCTGGCCCTTGAGGCCACAGGTAGGTCCAGAGTCTAAGCATGTGCTTTCACACTCGGATAATGCTGCTCTTCCCCTTTGATCCAGCTGCTGCGGCTGTTTACAGAGGCTCTCCACTGAAGAGTCAGCATATTGCTTTCCTGTCAGAGAGGGAGGAAGATGCTGTTCCTACACGAGTCTCGCTTATCTCTCAGGATGGGACAGAGCAGGTATGGACATGGACAGCCTCCAGCATGTCAGGGACAGCAGTTATTATCTGAAGTGAGATTCTGTCTCTACTCAGCCATGGTGTTCTTTGCAGACCCTTTTTCCAGCATTTTTTCAGACCTTGGAGCTTCCTGGGCTCTTTCTGCCCTGAGGCCTCCCTCCTACAGCCTCACCCACTGCCGCAGTGTTGATTTCAGGGTTCTCTGGCCCTGATGCCCCCCTTACTGATGTGGTCTCTGGGTGTTTGTGACTGGCAGCCCTTGGCTCCCTGCAGCTCCCCAGCTCTGCTGACCCAGGCTGGATCTGGAGATGTTTTGTCATCACAGCAGTGCTTTTCTTGTACTTCCCTCCACCAGCTGCCCCTGTGCTGACTGGAAAAAAACTTCCTTCTGTGGCACAAGGCAAAGGAAACAGCTGCCACCAGTGACCTGTTTCCTCTTAGCCTGAGATGCTCCTGATGCTGCAATGCACAAAGTTGTCTCTGTCCAGGCTTGAGACAAAAGGCTGAATGGGAAGGGGAGATATGATAGAAGGAGGAGGGCTGAAGACCCAAGCTCTGAGTTCTCTGTCATCAGTTTTATCCGTGGTCCTGGGCAAAGTTCTTGGAGTTCCCTGTGCCTTGAGTCTTGTAGAGACTGTTTCCTCCTTGCCCAGACATTGCTGAACTCAGGAGTTGCCTAAGACTCCCTGAGCATCTGCTGTCATCCCCAGGTCAGTCTGTCTCAGGAAGAGCTGCAGGCCCTGGGCAGTGCCATCAGCATGGTGATGCAGAGCAAGGCCCTCGCTGTGCCTGAGGGAGAGCTGGCCGGTGGTGACACTGGGGAGAGCTGGCCGGTGGTGACACTGGGACCATGACTGTGGCCAACACCAGTGGCACTGAGGCACAGGAGGTACAGACAAAACTGGGACTGTCCCTGATTCCTCTGCTAGATAAGAACTGCATTTTCTTTTAAAACATGATCATCTGAACTTTTCCCAGGTGACCATAGTTGCCTCTGGGGCAGTGGTGTCAGAGGAATCAGACATGGCCCTGCTCTGTCATCAGCAGGTGGCATTGCTGGCCACCTCCCATGGCACCCACATTGCTGTTCAGGTACCACATGGCTCTTGCCACCATCCCCTTCACTCCCTGGCCACCTGATGCCTGCAGCACTTGCCCTCTGGCCCTGCTGCATCACTGCTTGCCCAGGGGGCTTGCTCATTCATTCACAGATGTCCTGTGTGCAGAGGACAGCAGGGACATCCTGCTGGGATTACAGAATGCCCCTTTGTAAACAGCCTCTGCTTCCCATCTGTGTCATCCACCTGTGTCACCCCTCTGTCCTGCTGGGAGCCACCCTGAGCTGCCTTTTGGGGGTTCAGCACTCACTCTCTCTCTCCCCCTTCCCTCCCCCAGCTGGAAGAGCAGCAGAGCCTCCCCCAGCTGGAGGAAGCCCTGAGCATGGCCACAGCAGTCATCCACTACAAGCCAGTGGCAGCTGACACAGCCCTGCCTGAGAAGGGCAGCTGAGGCCAGCAGAGAAGTCGGGGCAGGGGGAGTGGCAGCCCCAGGCTGCCGTGTGCAGGGGAGGCGGATGCTGCAGGCAGGACATGGGGCAGGGACGGTGTCTGAGCCAGTGCCAGCATGTGCCCTGTTCCAGCCAGGACACTGACAGGGCAGCACAGCTGGGGTGACCCTGTCTGAAGGGCTCTTCCCTCCAGGGAGGGAGGGCAAATACACTGGGCTGCTGCCTGTTCCTGGGCTCTGAGCAGCAGCCCTCTTTTGAGGGGCACTTCCTGCCCTCTCCCTCTAGGAATGGTCTGACAGCTCCCCTTTCTTGCCCACCCCTCCAGCTCAGGGGCAAGTGGGCAGCACATGCACAGAAGCAATAAAGACCCATCAGAGCAAGCCCAGGCTGTCCTGAGCTCCTCGGTATGGAGGGTGGCCAGCTCCTGTCACTGGAGCCAGCACTGGGATGACTCCACCAGCAGTTCTCCCATCTCTTTGTCATGCTCCTTTCTCAAGCAAGGCTTCCATGGCAGACTCCTTGGCTGTGGACCAGAGCTGCCAGCACTTACCAGGAGCTGAGCTAGACCTGGATGTAAATGCTGAGTTGAAATAAAAAAATTAAAATTTTGTTTTTAAAAGGACCCCCTTTCTCTTTGGTGGAAGCTGGGAGGGGGTGGGATGAATGTTGGTGTTTAGCAGCTGTAAGAATTAAGGACATTGAGGAGATTTGAGATTTGTGGAACTGACCAAACATGTCCTGCCAAAGCAGCAGCTGTCCCAGGGGAGGGCTGGGAGCAGGGTGAGCTGTACCCTCTGAGCCCTTAGCATGGGGCTAGGAGTGGCTAAGACATGTCCTTGAAATCTCTCTTCAGGCCTTGGCTCTTCCAGGGCCACCAGCAAGACTAGATTTAGGGAACTGTGTCTGTGAACACATCCTACATCCTCCCCTGAGCTGGGAGAGAGACCTGGGCTGGTGTCCTGCTCCCACAGGTGCCTTCAGCCCCTCCCCTGCCACGGGTGCTGGGTGGACAGAGCTGGGGAAGACCTTCTAGATCCTCGAGTCCAGCTGTGAACCTGAGCCTGGCACAGGCTCACGGCAGTCGCGTGGGTCGTTGTTTGGACATCCTAGAGGAGTTTGTAGAGAAAGATATTTCCGCGGGCACGGAACGGGCACAGCCCGAGACGATGCCACAGGCTGAGTCTCCGCTCGCCTAGTACGATCCCTTCCAAAGGCAGCGCTCCCGCTGCGAGGGGAAGCTGCTGCTTGAGACACGGCGGGGATTTCTCTCTCCAAAACGCAAATTACAACGGACGTTTTGATCTCTGTGCCGAGGTCAGCAGAGGCTCGATGAGCCCCGGCCGTGCGGGGAGCGGCGATGGAGCCCGAGGGGTTCCCGGGGCGCCCCGAGCAGGCGGCGCTCCCGCCCCGCGTCCCGCCCGTCCGGGCGGCTCCAGGAACCGGATCCGCGGGCTCGGCAGAGCCGCCGCCGCCGCCGCCAGCCATGGACCTGCGAGCCGAGCTGCTCAAGTCCATCTGGTACGCCTTCACCGCCCTGGACGTGGAGAAGAGCGGCAAGGTCTCCAAATCCCAGCTCAAAGTGAGTCCCCGGGGAGCTCGCACGGATGGAGGGTGGGCAGCGGGCAGCGGAGCGAGTCCGGGGCTGCTTTACATCCCCGCCGGATGAAATTGTATTTACATCCCCACGGAGAAACTGTTAAATATTAAGATCAATAAGATCTTGTTGTTGCCTCCACGTTAGTTCTGGTGAAGTTCTTAGGCTCGGTGGCATCTTCCTTTAAAAAAAGGGGTGGGAGGGAATTCATGCTGAAATGTGTTTTCTAGGTGAAAATGATAAGAAATCTAAATTTAGTTATCGGTTTCTTGTGCTTTTATGGCAAAGAGCCCAAACTCTGTTTACATTTTCTTGCTTGCCTGAGCATCTGTGTTTCTCCTTACTGAGCCAGTAGGTTGGGAGGTAGGGACAGGTTGTTTTTAAACAAAAACTCCTCAGTGGTGTGGCCAGAAATAGCACAGCACTTTAAAGAACTCTCCACTTTCCCCTCTCCCTAGCCTTAGCAGCTTTCAGAGGGCTCATGCCCTCAGCCCTTCATCAAACCCATCATAGCTTTAAAAACCTTTTTGTCTGCCCCCGGTCCAGGATTGCTGAAACTCACCAGGGAACCCCTTGGCTCTGAGAATAATTGATTTTTTAAACTTTGCACACGGTGGGAATGTGGTTTTTTGGTCTGTTTTGGTTCTTAGGCTGGCACTGGGGTTGGAAATGCTGGTTGGTACCAGGGTCTGAGATGAGAGAAGAGACCTGAGCAGGGACATGCTGAGCACAGGGAGGTATTGCGTCAGGACTTGGAAGCTGCTGCCGGTCTGCAAAACCAGCTTTGAACCACTGCAAAAAGACCCACTTTTCCTCTATTCCCTCTATTTTATAGGGCTTCCCTAAGACACACTGCAGGGAAGGTGCTGGACTTTGGGAGGGGCATGTTTTGCCCCAGAATTAAGAGTTTTATTTGAGGGGATCTGGAGGAGTAGCAGCAGGAGGCAGATCCTTCCTGCTCAGCCTTTGCAGCTGTGAGCCTTCAGCTGCCCCCCAAACTCGTGGCATGTACCCTGCGAGCCACACTCACCTGCTAAAACTGTAGAAATAGCTGAAGGAATTAAGTGAAAATCCTAAAGTAGGCCAGAGGTTTGCTAATCCTTAAGAGGGGCTTGCTGTGCTCCCTTCACAGCATCCCCTGCACCACTGTTCTGGGTCCAGAGCCTGGCCCAGGCGTGGGATGGACCCAAAAGCACCAGCAGTGCTTGTCCTGTGAGATCTTTATCACCGGTGACGATGCTGAAGACACAGAGACTCTGATTTTAATGGCAGTTTCATGGACAGTTCGTGTAGAGTCTGCAAACTGTGGTGTAGGGGCTGTGGTGATACTGGGGATGTGACTTCGTCCAGGGGGACACTCCAGAGTGGAAAGGATTTTCTCCCATGCACCTTCAGTGACAGGATGGGTGGGCGGCAGGTCATTGAACAGCAAAGCTCAGCTCTGGATGACTTTCCCACTGTCTCAAGGCCAGGGAGAGCTTGTTTCCACCCCCAAAAACACTCGAGTTTTTCCCAGCCTACACAGGCCAGACGCGGTTCAGTGAGGAAGGAATCCAGGGTCCTGCAGCTCTGAGCAATAAAGTGTTAAAGGCACTGAGCCCTCTCCAAACTCCTCCAGGGTTGCTGAGCCCTGAGCCAGGCTGTGCTCTGCTTCCTCACCCGGGCGTGTTGCTGCATGAAGGGTCTTGAACAGAGGTGGGAGAGACACCAGGTTTGCACCTACAGGACAGAACCAGCCTCAGAGCTGGGTGGGAGCATCCTGGCAGAGCAGGAGCCGGCGGCTGAGCTCCAGCCACACTCCAGGCAGTTGCTGTGAACATGTCAGGGTTTCCAGCGTGAAAGGTGCAGCTGTGGGAAGCCGTTGGGCTCCTTGCAGCCACTTCTGCACAGGCAGGCATGTGCAGATGCTGCTGTGAGTGTAGGTGCGTGTGTGTGCACAGGAAGGAAGGACAGCTTGCGGTCGGGTGCTGCATGCCCAGCGAGGCCGGGTAGTTTTGCTCCCAGCACAGGCACACCAGCAGCCCTGTTCTTGGGAAGCGTTTGTGCTCTCAGTGCCATTGCATCCCCCTCCCCGGCAGGGCTGGAAGGGCTGTGGATACGGGATGGGGTGTGGTCCCTCACTGTGGCCATGCCTGGCTGGAAATACCAAGAACTGCCCTGGTGCTTTTGGGGCCACTCCTGGGTGATGGGTGTGACAGCGGTGGGAGAGGGTGGAGAACAGAAACAAGGCTGGTGCTCAGAGGAATGAAGGGTACTAGGAGGAGTCAGGCAGACCCCTGACCCCCTGGCCATCCCCTGCATTACACAGGGTAAAGGTTGTACCAGGAAACTGCTTTTGTAGCATCCCTTTCCCCTGCTGATATTCTTCTCCTGTCACTGTTTCAGAGCCTGCAAGGGTTTCTCACCTCTCTTATCTCCAGTCATGCCACCGTTGACCAGGCCAGGGCTTTCCTCCCCGTTTGTCAGTGACAGCCCTGCGAGAGGAGGGGCTTTGGGTCACAGGATGTCAGGATGGATGGAGGACCTCAGGGTGTCACTGGGCTTTTTAGGGGTGCTCTGGGAGGAGGGGCAAAGGATGGAGATGAGGGCCCACATCAGAAACACAGAATGCTCCCCAAACTTTGAATTCATCCTGATGGATTTGTTACCTGGAGGTAGCAATCCTGGAGGATGTCCATGAGATTCCCAGGCCTTTCCACCACTGTGTGGACCCTGGGGCTGCACTGCGCCCCAAAAGGCACAGCCATAGCAGCAGTGCTCCAGGCTACAGCCCTGTTGTGTGAGCACAGGGTGGAGTCCTGCTGATCCCATTGGTCCAGAGGGTGGAAAAGAGAACGAAAATCTGGTTGAACAAGAACTGTCTCCAGCTGCAGCAGCTATCATGGCCTCAGGCATCTCTTCTTCTGCTGGGAGAAAATTTCCAGCCCTGCACAGAGTAAGGATGCTGCTCCATCACCTCCAGCCCCTCTCTTGAACCCTTGGCAAGCTGCATTGGCAGATCCATGGAGTGGGGAGGTGTCAGTCTGGGACACTCATTTAACCATCTCCTGCTTCAGGGATGTAAAGGCAAAGAGAGCACCACCTGCCCAGCATCACAAGCTAGAGATGCTGGTGGTGCTCATGGACAGTCTTGCTCTAGGCTTTCCAGCACATGGGAAATACATGAGCTTGTGAACATGCTTTATTTGGGGGGATTTGAACAAAACGGGCTGTTGGTGAGTCTTGCTGAGTATTTCTGGGGAAGGTGCATCTCCAGATCTCCATTGTCTGCTTCTATTCCAGACAAAACCTTTGCTTAGTTTCTCACCAGTTTTTCCTATTTTCATGTTTCCATCTTTCTGTGCCCCCAGCAGTAGCTGCTGGTTGTGCCAACTGCATAGCTTGGGGTGGCTTATTAGCTTTTCTTAG